CCTTTCTAGAGACTTCCTCCTGTGGTAAATCTAACAAGCCTGGTGCTTACTCAGTTTAAAGGGCTGGCCCTGACTGCTGTTGTCGCACTACTGGCTGCTGCAGAAGAGACCACTCACTCTAGTGACAAATAAACCCAGGAACTTTATTCACCACTCACTGGAAACTCATTCCTAAGAGAAGAGGCTTGGGGAAGCCCACTTATCTGTTCACTCCAGGTTCCTACTCAGGTTGAGATATTTCTTCCAGATAGAATGGCATATGTAAGCAAGAATGCTTTCTGCCAACATTGACCTTCCCCCCACTCACACATATGATATAGGGAGCTGCTTTCACCCCCTGTCTGTCCTCTGTGGCAGGGAGCTTTGTCTAAGCTTTACCATGATCAGCACACCACGCCAATTAACCAGTCCCTAAAATAATCATGGCGTTCATATGGATCTCGAGTCATCAGTCTAGACCAGACCACTCCCTCTTCTTTTCAAGAAGCCGGTAGAGGAAGAAGTGTTATCCTTTCCTGCAGGCTTACCTCTATTAGAACCACCTTAATTCATCAGAGATGCTCTAGTAATCTTGAACTTCAAAAGAGAAGGTATTAGTCACAAAATTCCTCCCTCCCAGGAGTCCTTTGGACCTTATACAAACCTTTCCTTTCTCTGTTTTCCATCCCATTCACACTCCCAGTGGATTGTAGGGATGAGTTGTCCTCATTAAGCAGAGGATTTCTAATTACACCATCCCCCAGAATAATAGGTCCTACTTACCTTCTATATTCATAATTAAAAAGACCGCTCAAATGATCTCCCCAAGCAACCTAATATCATCATCACCAAAAAGGGAAGTGACTGGCAATTGCTAAGATAAGCTCTCTTGTTAAAATCTTTATCGACCTGCAGCTTTCACAATTTACATTTTCTTATAACATCTAAGGAGAAATGAAATCTTAACTCCCAATCTGTGCCTCACCCCTCACTCCCTTGCAGTCTTGCACAGAAGTAAATGAGCTCTTAGCATTTCTTGGAATGCTTCTTGAAATGTGTGTGCTTGTGCAGCCACTTCCCCTATGAGGATAAAATGTTAGAGGACAGATGAACAGTCATTCATGGAAAGTGGGTCCAAAAACTGATAAAAATATGTCTTCTGTCATAACTAGGAAGTTAACTGGGAAATGTTTCAGAAGTCAGTGTGGAATTAAGTAGAGGACTTTGTAGTGTGGTTGAAAGAACTTTGATTGCCACCCGGGAGATCTAGTTATGATGCTGATGGTAGACTTCAGAGCCCCCATTCCCTTATAGCTAAGGAGAGTTAGTGGATTAAATGATATCCAATGACCCACCAGCTGTAATGTTCTAGAAGGTAAGCTCTACAAGGTCAGATTCACTGGCATATGGTGGGTACACTGAGAGTGTTGTCAAAGGAAGCAGTGCCCTCCAGCCAGGAACTACCAGGAACGTAGCTGAAGTTGAACGAATTAGGTTGACTCGTTGCAGTGAAGGAGAGCATGCACCATGGGATCATGGGCCATCTCAGGAAGAAGGTGCTAGAAAAGAGTTATGGGATTTGGGTTTGTGTTAGGTGACTCGGGATGATTTAAAGAAGTGGAACTTTCCTCTAGATTGGATGCTGTCAGGAAGCAGAGGTCCCTGTATGATTGTGTCTTCTAAATCTTACCTAGGAGGGGAGACTAGAGAGGTCAATGCTGTAATTGGTAGAGAGGAACAGTCATTCATATTAGCCAGATTAGAGGGATATTTGGTCATTTTTGTGCCTGGATAATGTTCTTGTTTTTGTTGTGTTCAGATATGAGACCTCAGAGTGGTCTTGCTTTTATCATGATTCATCATGGTCATGGTGGGTCCTTACCTGATGTTGATGTTTTGTTAAAGTGATAATATTCAACAGGAAATTACCAGGGCCTAGCTGTGAGTAACTGGGTAGCTCCTAGCAACACTGGGGCCTGGCTTATAGGACCAGGCTAGGACCTATAGGACCAGGTATTAGGAACTGCTTTTCTCTTTTTCACAAGTAAGGTAGCCAACAAGTAGTTAGGAAACCATTTTATCCAGTGTGCGTATACATGTGATAATGTCTCCTTTTCCAAAAGTTTGACTGAAGCTTATTTGGTTCTCAACTCCATTACAAAATACAGTTAAGATGGACTGAATTTGAAGTGTTAGAAAACCAAAAGAGTTAAAATTGTATACTTACCAAACCTCTCTGGAGTGGTGATTTATTTCATTTTTTTCTAAGTTAATTTTTAATAGAAAATGTCATACTACATGGTAAACTACAAAGATTCCAAAGAGCATACGTATTGCTGATGGGAAGGCAAACAATGATATCCCTCAAAAGGACAACATGGTATTATATATCAACATTGTTAATGAGTTGTTCTTTTGACAGTGCAGTCTCATTTCTGGGAATATATCCTATAGCTATACCTGTACATGTGCGAAATGACTCTCATACCAAGTTATTCACCATAACATTGTTTATAACAGCACAGTATTGGAAACAACCCACGGCCACAGCTATAGAGGATGGTTACATAAACTGTGGTAAAGCCACACAGTAAAGGACCGTAGAGCTATAAACAAAAGAATGACGACGCCGTCTATATACTGATGTGATAATATAATTAGCATATATTAAGTGAAAAAATGAAGATAGAGAATAGTACTATCTTTTGTAGAAATGGAAGACAAAAAGAATGTATATTCATATTTACATTTACATAACACTACAAAAACACAAGAAACTAAAAAATCACCTATAGGGGAAGAGGGTGGGCACAGAATGTGGTAGACAAGGTTGGGAGGGAGGGGGGAAGGAAACTTCTCATTATTTACTTTTTAAAATATAATTTTGATGCTTGAATCATAAAAATGTACAACCTCTTCTAAAAATTAAAATAACTTAAAGATATAATGTAAAATATGTCTTTCTCCCACTCCATTTTGTTTCCCAGAGGTAACCATTTTGATCAATTTCTTAATAGAGCCTTTAGAGTAGTCCACTGTATTAGGCAAGGATCTCCAGAGAAACAGAAACAGTAGGGTGTCTGTGGGGGGCCGGGGAGAGAGAGAGAAAGATTTATTTTAAGGAATTAGCTTACATGATGTGGAGGCTGGCAATTCCAAAATCTGAAGGGCAAGCTGATGGGATAGACAGCCAGGGAAGAGTTTATTTTGCGGTCTTAGGTATGAAGGCCATCTAAAGACAGAATTCCTTCTTGCTTAGGAGACTTCAATTCTTTTAAGTCCTTCACCTGATTGGGTGAAGCCCATCCACAATATGGAGGCTAATTTGCATTTACTAAAAGTCTTCTAATGTAAATATTAATCACATCTAAAAAAAAAAGAGAGAGAGAAACAACCTTTATAGCAGCGTATAGACTAGCATTTGACCAAAAGCTGATAACTAACTTTGAGGAAATAATTCAAAAGATGGTAAAAGGCATAGATCTTGAGGATGGTTATTGTAATGTTCTTTGTACAGTCGAAGAAGTGGAAATAGGCTAAATATCCTGAGGGCATAGGAATACAGGCTAATTATGGTTTATTACTTTCATGAATTGTAGCCATTAAAAATCAATACAAAGACTAGCAATATTGGCATATGTGTATTATTTAATGTTATATAGAACAAATAATTATGTCTTGGCTCTGATTACAGTGAAAAGAAAACTGTACATGTGGACAAGAAAAGATAGGAATATGGAAACTAAAAACAATTTGATTCATTGGAATATCAGAGTTATGGGTGACATTTTTTATTCTGTTTTAGTCCTATTAATAATTGTGTTTGTTCATTCATGCTTCTGTAACAGAATACCATAGACTGGGGAGGGGGGGCTTATAAACAACAGAAATTTATTCTTCACATTTCCAAAGACTGGAATGTTCTCAAGATCAAGGCACTGGCAGATTTGTTTTCTGGTGAGGGCCTGCTTTCTGGTTCATAGATCTTTCCACTGTGTCCTCATGTGGTGAATGGGAGCTGACTAGCTCTATGGAGTCTCTATTTTAAGGGCACTACGCCCAATCATGAGGACTCCATCCTCATAACTTAAGCACCTCCCAAAGGTCCTACCTCCAAATACTGTCACGTTGGGGATTAGGTTTCAACATATGAATTTTGGGGTGACACAAGCATTTAAGCTATAGCAATATTGTTATAATAATTTTACATAATTATAACTTTAAAAAAAATAACAGTGAATCAATATTATCTCAGACAGTAGAAGCTCACATTGGAAAAGACTTTAAAAATCATTTGATCCTACCTGTCACCCACTCTCATCACTGTGATGGTTGCAAGTATGGAATCAGAGAGCTGGTGACTCTCATACCTGGAAGGATATCGCAGCTGCCAGGACTGAAAGCTCTCATTCTCTACTTGAAAACTAGCCATCTGTCTATTGATTAAGCCTGGAGAGGTGGTTCAGAACCTTCAGACATTAAATCTGTATAAGAGAACTGAGAAATGGGAAACAAACTACATTCCCATGTCCATATAATTAGCTCTGCTTCCAATATTAAACAATATCTGGTATCATTCACTTTGTAGTTATTAAAGGTATTTCATAAAAATTATAAAAGTGCTTCAGTCTGCAATAAGACCTATTAGAATATTGTTTATCCTTGTTTCCATCTTAAGCTTCAGATTAATTTTTCCCAATGAATAGAAATGTACAATAAATGAAAACCCAATGAGGAAAACATTGGTATATTTGTGTTTTTCAGTTTCATGTCCCATCACTTGATCTTTCCCTCAGATTGTAAGAGTTTCTCAGTGTCTATTGATTTCTGCTTTCATTTCTTGACTGATTTTTCAAGTTTGGAATGAACTAATAGAGGTCATCTTCACAGTGAGAAATTTCCCAGTTAGCAAAATGGATTTGCCAAGCAGGAAAAAGATGGTTGTATGTGCCAAAGTCCCTACCAGTGCCTGCCAAGAAAGTGGATTTGGTGTTAATCCTTATAATGAACATGTTTTTCAGGGTGGATCACTTGTACACATTCTTTGTTCAGTGGTCTCCTGACGTCTATGGGAAGGATGCCAAAGAGCAAGGCTTTGTGGTGGTGGAAAAGGAAGAACTAAATATGATCGACAACTTCTTCAGCGAGCCGACCACCAAGAGCTGGGAGGTGAGTCATCAAGCAGGGGCCAGACTGTCATGGCCCTTAAACTACACTATTAAGTCAAAATGTTCTTATGTCCAGATTTCAAGAGCTTCTTGGCTTACAAGAAGTTAGGTTCCCTGTGCACCTTTGAAGTTACAGCCAAATATAACCTTGTTCCTGCTTGAAGACAGTTATGTATGTCAGAAAATCCCCATCACCACCACCACCACCAGCTCATTGAACTTTTCTTTTTAAAAACTGCTTCTGTGTCCCTTTTACATATAGGGTGAAAGTCAAGTTCCTTAATTTGGCCTGTAAAGCCCTTCAGAGTTTTTTTTGAGCACTTACCAAACCCTTCCCATGTTAGGAGCACAGTGGATGAGATAAGTAGATGTTAGCATTAAGGAGTATAAATAAATCATTACTTTATAATGGGATAATTCTCGTAGATGAAGTACTAAGCTCTGCGGGAGGCTGTAGCCAGTCATCTGAAAGGAGCCAGGGGGAGCAGGGAAAGCTGCCCAGAAGAAGTGATCTGAGCTGAGATCAGAAATGGGAATACAGGCAGTTGTGGTGGGAGTGGGACGTGGAATGTGTCCTGGCCAGAGAGAAAAGTCTGTGCAGAGGAATGACCCAGGGAAGAAAGAAGGAGCATGGGGCATTTGATGAACTAACAAAAGTTCAGTGTGACTGGAGCATGGAGTGCAAAGCTGAGGGAGTAGCAGGAAATGCTATTCCCTTGTAAGCAAGAGCAGATCACGAAGGATCTATGTACTATGTGTAGGAGTTTGGTTATTTTCCTAAGGGCAGTAGGAAGGCATGGAGCTGTTTTGTGCCTAGAGAAGTATATGCAGATATGCATTTTGGAGAGTGCTTTCTGGCTGGCAGACAGATGTTCAGTAGACTGGAGATGAACAACATTTGAGACTTGAGGACCCATTAGGAGGCTCTTGCAGTAATTAATGTTGAGAGAGAAGGATTGCTGAAAGAGTAGCAGCAAGGATAGAGAAAATTGAGTGCTTTTGAAAGATAGAAAGTAGAATACACAGGACTTTGTAATTAATTACATGTGGAAAGTAAGGACGATGCCAAGATTGATATCTTGGTTTTCAGAGTGGGAACTGAAGGGATCGTGGTACCTACTCTTCACTGAGATAAGGGGCACAGCAAGAGGGTTAGACATAGTAGAAAATGCTCTGTGTTTGGTTTTAATCTAAATTTGAGGGACCTGTGGAATATCCAAGAAACAACTGAATATAAAAGGGAAAATATTTAAAGATACACTTTTGGAAATCATTGGCAGAGTTGAAGTTACAAGTGTAGATGAAGTCATCCCAGGAGAGTATGCAGTGGGAAGGGAGCAGGGCTCAGGACAGAGCCCTTAAGGACACCAGCATTAAAGGGCCAAAGATAGTAGAGCCCACAAAGGTGACTGAGGAAGAGCAGCCGGGGATGGGGGAGGGAAACAAGGAAAGTCATGTCTTAGAAGCCACGGGAAGAGAATGTTTGAAAAGACAGGAAATTGGTAAAAAATGACTGATGCTGTTGTAGCGGAGTCAAAAAGTAAGAACTAAGCAATGTCTTTTGGATTTAAAATCAAGGAGTTAGTTGGTTACTTTGACAGAAGCAGTTTCATTAAAGTTGTAGGTCCAGTAGTTCAAAGAATGAGCGGGGGGTGGGAGATTAGTAGATGGAGCTGGTAAAGGGAGGCAAAAAAATCAAATTTGGCTTTGGAAAGTAAAAATGAGGTAAATATTAAACTGGAAGAAGAGGGGAGGTTGGGGAAGGGTTTTCCCTCTTGTTAGAGAGACTTTAACCTTTTAAATGAGGTCAGTGGGAAACCAGTGTGGAAGATAGGGGAATGAGGGTGAGAGTAATCAGGAGAGTTGATCCCTGTGTGTCCACAAGGGTTGCGGGGGTAGGGATAGGATGGGCCTTAGGTTGGTGGTCAGACAGTGGAAAAGAGTAGGATGTGTGTAAATCAAGTGTAGATTCAGTGGGAGAAAATTGTGAATGGTTTCTTTGAAACAGAAGGAGGGGGCATCTCCTAGAAGTGAAGGAGAAATTAGAGGAAAATGGAGGAGGTGTGAAATGGCAACTTTGGAGACTAGGAAAAATGCTAAGGAACTGGATGAAGGCCCCATTGGAGTCTGCACCGTACACTGACAATGGCACCAGGCTGCAGTAAAGGGTGATGTTCTCCAGAATCATCCAGTGAGCAGTCGGATTCTCCCAAGACTGAAACCTTGCAGGATTGGAATGACCAAAGGTGATGAGGCTGGCCCCTGACGTCTAATTTCTTCTGGAATTCCAGGTCCCTTCGTATACACGTTTGCTATTACTACCTCCAAGCCAGCTTTCTATGGCCAACTTCTGTGATCCTTCAGGGTCCAGCTCATTTGTCACTTCCGTGATGCTTTCTGGAATAGTTTACTCCTCCTGTTCTCCTAAACCTATTGTTCACAAATTTCTAGTAAATTGCCCAGCAATTTACTTGTTTACATGTTTTCCTCCCCATAGTTCATACACTCCTTCTTTGAGCCCATTGTTTGAAGATACTTAAGCCTGTCTGTTCTGTTTGGTTCTCCTTCACTTGGCTTTGTGTATCATTTGTGTTTTTTCTGCTTTTTCTTCTGCCTCTCCGAGGATTTCTGAGTTCACTTTGCTTGTCCCTAGGAGTTTTTCCTTGGCTCTTCCCATCTGTTACTCTTCCTTGATGAATGAGCTCATCAACTCTGGTGGTTTGTGCTCTCGCCTCCCACATCCGCCTCTTCCACACACCTCTTTCTCCCAAACTGCTCCTCTAGAGCTCATAATTGCCCCATAGGCACTGCTGGAAGTCTCCACCAGGCAAAGATCGTGTGACATTAGCACTCTGGCCAAGGCACTCAGGAATATCAAGTCTTGTCCTCACCTAGTCATCTCTGCCCAAGAGACCCCCGTGAGATGTGTGCACAGAGGAAGCCAAGTCAGGAAGGGTACATTTCCTTGCTGAGGCTGTGGTCTCTTGCCCTGATGTGGAGTTCCAGAGAGAAGTTTTAGGTTGCACTGGGGACTTAATCCTTTCCTCACTAGGCCTGAATATTTTGAGCCAAAGCAGTTCTCTTAAGGCCTATTCTACCACTAATCCCAACCTTGAATCTAAGCTCTTGACAACACCAGTGAGAGAATAGACAATACCCTCCAGTACCAGAGGAAAAGGAGCTAAAATGGCATTTAGGGAGAGAAAGGTCTGCTTCAGAGTCTAGAGCCCGATGGAATAAGCTTGGGCAGTCTGCCCAGCCGTCTCAGTTTGCGCCACTGTGAAGAATGAAAGAGGGCAATCCCTCTAGACCTGTAAAGAGGAAGAAAATTGTTGGTCTGTTCCAGGCTCCTAGTGGAAAGAAAAGATAACTGGAGAGACAGGTGACTGGAGTCATCAGGCCGCCTCATCCCTATTTTCTTGCCACATGGACAGAGTTCAGAAGTGCAGTTTGAACAGTGCTGGCCAAGTTCCCTCCCATGCAGGATTCAGCTCTGCTTACCAGCGCTCCCTTAAAGCCAAGTCCCCATGGCAGCCTGTCTCTCCTCCGTGGGTGGGGAAGAGGAGCCTTCACTCCCCCCAGGAGCTACGGGGATCTGATCCTCAGCATGTCCGAAACGACGTCTTTTCCACAAACTTGCTTCCCCTCACATATTCCCATCATAATTCGTGGCGCTCTAAGCCAGAAACCTTCCCAGATTCTTCTCCTTGAGTCATTCATCTCTAGGCAGAATCTTGTTGATTCTGTTCTGAAGTGTGCAGGGACCTGGGCTCCCCTTCACCGCTCCTGCCTCAGTCAGCCCTTCTCTACCAGTCACTGGGACCCCAAGGGCACCTCCAGTCCCAGCCCACCCACTTGTTCACCCTCCCATGCAAGCTCTTTAAATAAGCTTTATTTCCCAATTTTATCCAATTAATACCCGCTTATTTGGGGAAATTATAAAACAAAAAAAATGCAGCAAATTTTAAAATAATGTCTAACCACACGACACTTTTGTACATTTCCTTCGGCTCTTTTTTTTTTTTTTCCTGTTCTGTTTTAGGGTGTTTTCTAGGGGATGAGGTTGGGAGTTAAGTCTAGCTTTTTATTTTTTGCAAAATGGGATCTTGCCCTGTGTGTAGTTTTGTATCTGGCTTTTCTCACCTGAAATATTGTGATAATTATCATATTAAAGATTTTTAAGCTGCATTTTTTAATGGTTGCCTAATACTTTTTCTCTCAATAATGATTTATTTAATGATTCCAAACTTTCAGGAATCTTTGTTGGCTCAAGTTTTTCACACAGATGATCTGCAACTTGTAGCTTCTTAGAAGTGAAATTTCTTGGTATAAATTTGCAAATTTTTTATATAATGTCAACTTAACTTGCCAGCATGTGAGGAAAACCCTTCTCACTGTGCTTCTGCCAGCAGAACATATTATTATGAATCCTTTCTAAAAACTTTTGGTAATTTCAAAGTTGAGAAATAATACATTTTAATTTCAATTTTCTTAATTATTATTTAGGATAGAATGAATATTTGTATGATTATATTATATTATATATAATTTGTTCTTTTTTTCTTTGTTGTAATGCTGATTCATTATTTTGCCTATTTTCCTAAGGGAATTGTAATAGTTTCATCACACTTTGAGCTCTTTGTGATTAAAGATATTAATTCTTTTTCTCCTGTATTTTTTACAGATTTTTTTCTCCTAGTTTGTTATCTGTCTTTTAATTTTATTTATGTTTTTGTTTGTGGTTTTTAACCCTAGTGCTTTTATGTATACTTGGCCCTGTACTATTGATTCAAGCTCTACTCATTCTACAGTTGATTTATTGATATCTGATAGGTAATATTTTTAATCATCGGTTTTTTTCCAGCACTGTTTAATGATTTGTGATGTTTTCTCTGTCATGTGTATAGGTCTTATATGTGTTCTGTACTATGTTCTATTTAACTTGATTTGTAAATAAGTGATCAAGCAAGTGATCGCAAGCGTGGTCTGGACTCCCATGCTTGAAACACTCCGTGGTTCTCCATTGCCTGTAGCTATCATTATCCAAACTACCACTTGGCAAATTATTTTTTTTTACTGAATCCTAGACTCTCACCATTAGAACCTTTAATTCTGTGGGTCTGGGGGAGGAATGTTGGAATCTGTTTTTTTAAAGCTCCTAGATGATTTTGAAGAACAGCCAGGTTTTAGAAATCTGATAAGCTCGAAGCCGTTCGTGGTATCAAGATTCTTCATTTTCTCCACTTCTGCTCCCTGCCGAGCCTCCTCTCTACTTCGCTTGCCCTCTGTTCTCAAACCACAGTGAACATAGGACACAACTGTGTGTTCCTGCTTGTCCCCTTTACCAGACATCTCCCCACACCCCACCCTCTGCTCTCAAACTCAGTAAGCCATCTCAGAACTCTCTAGGTGGCCCCAACCTCCTTTGAGCTGCTGTTGGCATTCGTATCACATGGAATGGCATTCATTTATTTATAAATGTCTCTCTACTGTCTCCTCTCCCACTGGAGACTGTGGACTGTTTTGTGTCCCTGCACCTGGCAAAGCACCTGGCACTCGCCAGCATATAGAAAGCACTCAATAAATGTTAGCTGTCACAAAGTGCCAGGTTCTTAAAGGAATGCCATCTCACTGGCACAAAATCCTAGTGATTCTGCCCAGATTGTGCCTAAGCTCATGCACTGAGAATAAATTCTGGCTAACCTGGGACTGATCACAAGGTACCTGCCAGAGTCCCCATTGGAAATGACCCCAGGATGAGCTACACAAGAGCACTCCCATCCCCTCAGCAGGACTAAAAGGCAATTTTGGATCTGGAAAAGCCACAGGAAGATCACTGAAAATTAATCCATGGTGTTCTGCATTTCTTTCCACCCCGTTGACATCAGATCCGGGCAGTAGAACACGTCTCATCACGCTTCTTAGCCATTAAGATTAATATCCTAAGTATGTGGTAAACACACAGTGCCATATGCCGATGATGTATTGTAGAACTGCAAACTTGAAACCTATATAATTTTATTAACCAATGTCACTCCAATAAGTTCAATAGAAAATTTTTAAAAGATTAATATCCTAAAAAGTAAAAAGGTTTGCCTTTTTTTTTTAACTTTGCCAGCTGTTCTGAAACACTGAATCTAAAGTGACATTTTCCTCGGGCTCATATAAAGCAGATGTTTTTCCATTCTTTTGAATTGCTCACACTTAACAAACGTGACATGGAATTGAAGAGAAATGCCATTGTTCTTAGGGAACCTCCGGTAAAGGCTCCTTTTGGCTCTTCCAGTGAGATTCAAGCCGATGTCAGGGAAATGACATAAAGTTTAAAATGGAGGTTTAGCCTTAGAGAAGGTGCGGAAAAAACTCTGGAAAGGCAGGGTCAGGAAAGCTAGTTTAGCCAGAGGACAATT